TAATACTTATGATAAAACAAATTAAGCTATAACCCAGAAAATACATTTACATTTCAAATAAATCAAAATACTAAAAAACACAGGAAATGCAGTTATGATTCAAGCTGAAGAATTTTTTTGTAGCTAATTACGATCAAGGTGAGTGGGTTTATTCGAACCTGCACTGCAACACGCGAAGATTTATTGTGACTTTCTTCAATTAAAACTTCACAAAATGAGCAGAACTTCTTAACGAATTCGAACAGTTCGATTGGTGAAATGATCATTCAGATTCGATGCCAAACATTCGAAATTCAGGTCGCAGTGGGGCAGGTACAATGTATGTGCTCTGCTGTTTCATCGTCTTCCAAACAGATGATTCATACAACAGTGACTTATAAGTAGACCTGTTCCACAACTTAGGTTGTCCTTGTTGCTGTTCGGTGACATTCTTTTACAGTCCAGTTTTTTTCAAGACACTGCTCTCAGAACGGTGTCTGTGCGAAAATATCGATTAACATAGGATTTGAATTGCCGGAGATTGAATCCATTTGGAAAAACGTTGTTGGGTATTGTAATGAAGTTGCATTGAATTTAGTTTTGTGAAAACGACAACATAAATAACTATTATTCAATAGCATACAGATAGAAATGTGAAATAGTAATTTAGTGTATGTTCAGTTTGAATGCTTGTAAACTTCTGCCTGTTCTTCTCGTCGACCTCAGGGTTGTGTCTGGCATCCAGTAGGGGAGTGACTATTCAGGGTGAACGCCTGAACATGGCCCCCTCCTTGAAAGGACTAGCTTTCAATGTCCTCTATTGGGAGCGGACATATTCTGTTGAAGGATCTCTTGACCATTCCAGTTGAAGTCCGAATGGTTGCCACGCGGTTGATACCATCCTTGCCTGGATGCACTGCCTCGATTCTTCCAAGCTTCCATACCGTGGTTGGTTGGTTTTCCTCTTTTATCAACACGATAGTTCCCGTCTCTAATTGTTGTTGAGACGTTATCCATTTGAGCCTTTGCTGAACTTCGGAAATGAACTCTTTTCCAGAAATGCTGACTGATTTGCTGCATCCTTTCATATGATGACAATTTGTTTCGTGATATGGTTCTCAAATCTGCATCTGGTACCCCAATGTGTGATCTTCCGATGGATAAGTGAAAAGTGGTGTGAGTGGACGAGAATTCACTATTGCCTCGATTCGCGTTAATAAAGAATAAAGTTCTTCGAAAGTAAGGTGAGCGTTTCCCATGACTCGTTTCATATGATATTTTATGGATTTTACACCGGCTTCCCACATACCTCCAAAGTGCGGAGAGTATGGCGGAATGAATTTCCATTCAATATCTTCGATTGAGAATGATTCCGTTAATTGAAGTTCGTGGGATTGAATGAACTTACCAAACTCGGCTAGTTCAGAACTGGCAGAGACGAAATTCTTTCCGTTATCACAAAATATTCTTAGAGGCTTTCCTCTTCGCGCTACAAACCTGCGAAGGGCTAAAATAAATTATACTTTCGTTAGGTCGGAAACTAGTTCCAGATGTATTGCTTTCGTCACGAAACAAATGAATAGACTGACGTAGCATTTAGAAAGCTTCGAACCGCGACCTTTCTTATTTTTGATCATGAGTGGTCCGGCATAATCTACTCCGCAGATATAAAATGGCGGCTGAGGTTCCAATCTCTCACTCGGTAAGTTTCCCATAATGGGTTGCACTAACGTCGGATTATTTCTGAAACATTTTATACATTGGCGCACAGTTTTTCTTGCGATGGAGCGGCCCGAAGTGGACCAGAAGGCTTCTCTAATGGAATACAACAATTGTTGTGGACCGGCATGTAACAGCCTTTTATGCTCATCATTGAACAATAATTTTGTAAAGTGGTGTTTATGTGAGAGTATAATCGGAAACCTTTTAGAATAGGGGTATTTGGAATTGGCTATTCTTCCTCCAACTCTGATGATTTCCTCCTCGTCAAGAAAAGGATTGAGAGAGAGGATGCTACTTCCCGATTCAAGCGGCATTTTAGTTTTCAATTTCTTAAGTTCATTGGGAAATGATTCNAAACCGATTTTTGTGACCTTTGACCTTGAAATTTAATAGTTGTTTACACCCTACCATATGTAGGTTTTGAGACAACTTTTAGGGTGTCAATATACAAGTATTTACAGACTTACAGCTGGGTATCTCGAATTCCGAGGTGAACTTACTATAATGACTGGACTACAGAAGGTTTCTCTAATGGAATACAACAATTGTTGCGGACCGTTATGTAACAGCTTTTTATGCTCATCATTGAACAATAATTTTGTGAAGTGGTGTTTGTATGACAGTATAATCGGAAACCTTTCAGAAAAGGGGTATTTGGAATTTTCCTTTCTATGCTATGCCTATGCCTGGGTTTTCTTGGCATTGAATTAAGCCTGGTTACTTTCACCTCATTAAGATATGCAACCTCCTGGTGCCGGTGAAGATTTTTATCAAAGACTGAAGCCACACAATCGGTCGGTAGCCGGTCGGTTCGACGTGGGTGCTTTGTTCTTCACTCACTCAATTGAACGCCGTGTTAGTCGGTGGTTCAAACCGCAGGCTGAACGATCAATTTTCACTTGCTATTGTCCAACCCGTGTTTGGAATCACACGTTGAAAGGTTAGACCTCGCTAGTCCTTAGCTCGTACAAGTTTCGACTTCTGAGGGCTGTAGGGGTGTGACAGCTGGTTAACAGAAAACATATTTCAAACATATTTATTTCAAACACTAATGACAAGTTCTGTCATTGCTGTGCTTGTAGTGCCGTCCCTTGCAAGGATGTCAGTAGTATCATTACCTTCAGGCCAGTGTGTCCAGAAATCTAGACCAGATATAATTCGTTAAGTCTTCCGATTGAAGAGAGTTTTTGAAGTTCAAAACCAATCGGGACGTGGTTCAGTACGAGCCTAGTATTTCGGAGCAATCTGACAGTTCGAAAGATTTTTTTTTGGTTATGTGTGAAGTTGTTTTCCGCTAATCTTTTCAAACAATAATCAATGTAGAGTACGTGAAATACAGTCGCGTAGGAACCTAGATAGGTTGATATTTCTGTCTCGAGTCTGCACCTAAAAACACTTAAACCAGAATCTGAAAGAAGTTTTGATCCATCTATGAAGCAACAGTTATCTGCTATTAGTGTTTTTAACTTCTGGAGGTTATTATCAGATTGCCGTAACTTTTAGTGTCTGCTCAATTCAGCATTAGCCCGTTTTATGCAAATGGCAATGAGTATAATTATTTATATTGCCCCTCTTGCCACTCTTTTCAGAAAGATGCGGAAAGGAAATGGGTGAAGAACCGCTGACGGTTTGGTGAGGATGGCACCGGAGATAGCCAGGCAAGACAATCTGTGTTTACTAGAGATCTTCATCTGAGCCGTTTGCTCTAAAGTTTAAGACCACCAAGAAACCGTACGTGATTATTGGTCTGACAATCATCACATAATATCCAATAGATTTGTTTGGACATCAAGTCCCAAGATTTCCTGATTCTCGACATAGCCCTAGAGATAGTCTGGGTTTATATACAACTTTTTCCTAGTGGGCGTGTTGGTTGAGATTTTTATCGAGAGTAGTACCTACATAGTTAATTTCACTTCCTCTGCATTTGGACTAACTTTGCCCTCGGAGAAGAAATCAAATCATCCAGATTCCTCTGGATTACTGTTCTTACTGAAAGATCAAAATACTTTGCACTATTTGTAGGTGATAGCAGCTTTCGTAGCAGCTCTTTACCACGTGGCTGGTGGCATTTCAGCAAGCTACTCTGGAATCTTAATGCCTTTCCTGCAGCGAAATATAACCAACGACACATTTGACAGTGATCTCACGGCAACCACAGCAGAATGTTCCTGGATTGGTATTTTTTTCATGAATAATCAATAACATTCCTTTACCTACTTGTGTTTCAGCTAGTGTAGTGGTTCTGATCGTCCCAGCAGGAGCAATCAGTGGGGGATTCATAATGGATAGTATCGGAAGACTGAATACTATAAAACTAGCTACTGTTCCAACGATCTTGGGATGGTGTTTGATAGCTGCTGCTACAAATGTCAACATGATTATAGCTGGGAGATTATTTTGTGGATTTGGTTCCGGTAGGTATGCTAGGAATTTTGTTACCATTCGATTTTATTTTCTCCATATGGAGAAAAGGTGTCAAGTGTTGAAAAAATGAAAAGAAAACCAATGACATTTCAGCTATTTTCCAAAATGATTTTAATATTCACCTTCGTACCCAAATCAAGTGGTTTAGTAAAGTGGATGATGAGTGTGCAATTGTGAACAATCGCTTAGTCATAACCCATTGTACCAGAACTGTGCAATTGTGTACAGAGTGGGCAAAATTGAACACTTTTGGAGGGAAACTCCTTGCCATGGATCTCATTATCTCAGGGTTTTTCGAGGTTATAGGAGCAAATGAAACAGAAGTGAATTAGGTCGACTTTGCCAATTTATTCGAGTGGTCAAAGGTGTTTATCAGATATGATACTAACGAGAGTATGAGAGTTAGACAGAACTTAAACTATATGAATTTTTAATATCCATGCAGAAATACATTTTGGAAATGAAGTTACATTTTTCTGTACCCGCTAATTCAAACCTATCTATATAAATGCAGGCACACCATAGAAAAGATAAGTTATCTTATATTTTTGGATTACTCCCGAAGATATTCAAAATAACTGTAGCTGTTACGAAATATAATAACTGGAAAAGTGGTGACAGCAGCGACTTGTTTCCCACTGCAAACCTAAGTTTTATTTCGCATAAAATAAACGATATTTCAAAAAAGGGTAGGTAGTGTTTTTATAGTGCTTCCAGTGGAATGCTCCGGATCCACGGCAAACGTAGTTTCTTAGTCTATATACAAAAGTAGTTTCTTTGCCAATACTCAATACTGGCCTTATGGGTATGCAATCAACAATACCACACGGACTGAATGCGAATTGCCTATTGTTTATTAGTGATAGCACAAAATGAAATATTGAATGCAAAACAACAATGGCGCTCCAAACGACAAAAGAAGGACATTTATAACACAAAAAACGATTTCCGTAAATACGAACGACGTTCATTGAAAGGAGAACGGTTTCGTTATATCCTGTTTTCAAATTGCTGTGTCTGAGGGTCAAATTTTATGACAAACTGAGTGGTGAAAACCGCAAATCGATATCTATCATCGTTTATGAGTTACAGCATGTTTTTCGAAAATGTGGAGCTCAGGAAAATATATTTTCAACAATACGGTGCTTCGCCTCACAACACTGTAATTGTCACCAATTTTTTGGCTGCAAATTTTGGTAATAATTGGATAGCCAACCAAGGACCCAACCGTTGGCCGGCCAGGTCACCGGACCTAACGCCTATGGATTTTTACCTCTGGAGAAGGTTGAGAGATCTTATATTTAAATTGCCGACCAACTCTAGATACGAATAATTGGAAGCGGCAGTGATGCGAAGTTTTGCTTCCCTCACTCCTATTGAACTAATTGTTTCGGCAAAAAACTGTGTGTAGGAGAAGCTGGTAGACATTTCGAATATCTCAAAAGAAATATATTTCATTGTTTGTTCTTTATCATTATTGTTGTTATTGTTGAAGTTTCATTCATTAATAGTACATAAATATAGTATTGATTGTTGTCAGTTTCATTGAAACTATGCGTTTGAGTTACTGATGTGAAAAGCTTTATATAAGCATTTGATAGCTACTACTGAACAATTTCTTTCTGTTTTATCGCCGCGTCGTCCAAAGCTTAACTGATCAAAGTGTGCGTTTCAAAGTCTACATGAAAAAACCTAAAAGCTCTGTATTTATGACTAGCAAAACATCAAGTTTACTACTTTTTTGGAAAGATAATTTTGAAGTCTATTGAAGTATGCGGGAATATACAGGGTGGCTCATAAAAAATAGTTTTCCATCAATAACTATTGATATCTCATTTGAAAAAAACCAGTTTTTCACACCATTGAGTTCTACGTAAAAAAGTGCTTTGGAAATGTTGTTGGAAGTCGTTGATGAAATAGATTACCAATATAGCTAATATTAATGGAAGAGCAATATCTGACTTGATTTATCATGTGCAGATGTTGAATTCTTCCATTTGTTAGGTTAGGTTAGTATCTCTTGTACTGAGTAACCTTTCAATAAACTCCTTTATTACTATTATGTACCTCATCTGATTATCTTCATTCGATTAGAGGCAATGCTCCGCCCAGATACTACTTTTACATGAAAATTATATTATCCAAAAAAATTCTTTGTAGATAATTTATTTTGAAATTAATTGCTTTCTTACATTTTTTGAAAGATTGCCACATTTTTGTTTAAAGATGTTCCAATTCAACCTATCAAGAATGATGTTCCTTTATTTTCTACGAAAATAAAATTTCTCAGTCATTTCCAAGTGAGAAACGTTGATATTTTGTTATAACGATTTTTTTTTATTTCAGCATGGGGTACTATTCCTGCCACAGTTTATATTAGTGAAATCTCAAGAGCAGACTTGAGAGGGGCCCTCGTTTCATTCACACCAACCTTGGCATCACTTGGTAAATTCTATATTTGTGATATTGTGTATACAAAAATTCTACAAAAAATTATAGCAGAATTCTGGACTAGAAAAAAACATTGAAAACTCACGTACCTAGTTTACCGTGTAGATTTCGAATCCGGGAGAAGAAGTCGGTGCTCTCTCTTGTTTCCAGAGTTACATCCCTCCAAAGTTCCGAAACTTTTCTGTCTTCTTTCAGCACAATACCGTTGGAGATATTTGGAGGTCCCTATACAGGGTGTAACTAAATAAGTGTAAAACATGTAAGGAGGTGATTCCTCATCGAAAAAAAGATAAGATCTTTCATATAAAGAAATTTCATTGGAGCGTCCCTCGTTAAGATACAGCCCCTTAAAAGGGGTACATAAAATTTGTATAACAATTTACAAGCACTAAAAAAGTTACAATATTGAAATTAACATGACGTTTTGTACTACCAAAAAGACACTTATCCAGAAATTTATTTGGTTGACCCCTTGGTTGTAAGGGGTGGAAAACGCAACCCCTAAAATGTATTTCAAATGTAACTTTTTGCCATTTAAAAATTTATTTCCGATAGCCTGTTTCATTCTTTAATTTAAAGAGGACAAAATAGAAATTAATGAATAAATGAATATATTTTGCGGACCTCTTACACTGAGGGAAACAACACGATATCATATCATCCATAAGTCCCATAAGTGCACCGGGAACCAGGGATTGTTCTTGGTCTGTGTTGCCATTTGAGCTATCTCCGTTCAAACTGGCAACAAGGTTCGCATCCAAATCCAATGTCCGGAGGTGAAAAAGCGGCAATTCAAACATCACAACAAATGAGCGAAATTTTTTATCTGTATGCTCTACTAATCGTGATCAAAATTGCAACATGTGATGAGATAACCTTGACACCAAAAAACACAAAATTTTTGTGATCCAACGTTGGTGTTGGAATGTTTTATTTTTGTAATCGGATTTCATCTAGCAATCTGTTTGCGGTATGAGCTGCAGATAAAGACAGAAAGCGATTTTAAATTCTGACAGTTTATATTGGATGAAGATTTGAATTTCCACTCAATATATGATGGAATTGGCCGATATTTAATGAAAATCCATAACTAACGTATTCGGAAAACACAATAAAGTGTTTTTTGAATACATTAGTTTCAACTCGTTACCAATAATGAAGTCGTCGTGGGAACTTTGCTGTTCGTAATGATACAGTGTGGTTCATTTAATATAAAGGCATTCCTTATAAACCGTGTATGCAACAGGATTGGGTTCTTCTAGCTGCTGCCATAGATAGAATTTCATTCATTTTCTATACCTTGCTCTTCTGCATTTTAGCTATTGTATATGCATTATAAATAAGGTCAATTTTTGTAAATAATAGAATATAAACTTAAAATAGATAAAAGAGAAATGTATATTTCATTCCGCATCAAAATTCTGAAAACGATTGTCAAATTGATGCAAACACATTATTATTTTTTGAGCAGAACTAAGTTTCAAAAAGTCACAGAAAGGCATCACTTCCATAGTTTTTTCAGATAAAAACTCCTGAAATCAGTCGCCAAAAAGAGGCCAGCATATTTTTTAATGCTTATCTATTCCAACAAATGTTCAAAATGTTTACTTTACATACGAATTCATTTGATGTAACACCTGGGCTGAAAAGATCCGGGTGTTTTTTTTTAATTGGCTTTATTCATCAAGAGACACACAATCATTCCAGCGCCACTCTAACATTTCATTACAATACCACTTTTGTAGAACGACTTATATTTTACCTCAAAATAGGCATCACTTTCAGCAATAACCTCTTCATTCGAGCAAAATTTCTTACTGGTGAGCATATTTTTGAGGTCTGCGAACAGCCAGTAGTCGCTGGGAGCCAAATCTGGTGAATCCGGTGGATGTGGGAGCAATTCTAAGTTCAATGTATGTAGTTTTGCCATTGTTTTGATTTACTTGTGACATGGTGAGTTGTTTTAATGAAACAATTTTTTTTCTTTGCTATATGCGGCCTATATTTGCAATCTCGGCCTTCAAACGCTCCAATGACGCTATATAATATATACTGTTCACTTCTCAAGATAGTCGATGAGTATTACACCACGTACATCATAAAAAATCCCAGGGCCATAACCTTTCCAGCCAATTGTTGTGCTTTCGGGAGCTTTGGACCAGGTTCACCGTTGCTCTCCACTCAGATAACGATGGTTTTCATTACAGAGTGAGGTGATTGATCCATGTTCCATCGTTGTTACATATCGACGCAAAAATTCCGGTTTGTAATGTTTAAACATGGCTTAGCACTGCTCGGAATCATCAAGACGTTCTTGTTTTTGGTCAACAGTGAATTCGAGCGGCACCCACTTTGAACAGAGCTTTTTCATAGTCAAATGCTCATGCAATATAAAGCCAACACATTCTTTTGTTATCTTCACTATGTCAGCTAACTGAAGCAACTTCACATTTCGATCATTCAAAAGGATTTTGTGAATTCTTTTATATTTTCTGGTGTTACTGACTCATTTGAACATCCACTGCGTTATGCATCATCGATGTCTCTACGACCAGTTTGAAGTCAGTAAACCAACGTTTAATTGTTATTTCCGAAGCAGTGTTTCAAGAAGCAGTGTAAAATTCAAACACAACATTGTTTTTGATCCATTGTTCACTGTATCTGTTTCTGTAGGGTAGGGATGGTAGATGTTTCTTGATCATCGCCAGATATTTCTTCGGCGCCAACTTCCCAGGGTCGCCCAGGGTGATCCTAGCAAGATTGCATCCTTTGAGTCCATCCCATCTCTTCAGGAATTAAGCATAGATGTGACTTTTGACTAGTTCCGCAATTGTCGAAATCATCAGGCCGTAGGTACGTAGGTAGGTGCCACTGGGTCCTAAAATTCTTAGTCCAGCCGCTTCCTTGGCTAAAGAGTCGGCAATGTGATTACCTATACTCCTGTCGTGCCCTTTAACACACCCCAGGATAATGTTATTATCTGCCGAGGCTTTGGCTAAATCTTGGTGGCACTCTAGTACCAGCCCTGAGGTAACACGTTGTCTGTTCAAGGCTAATAGGGCTTGTCTACTATCAGTGCAGATTGTTATATTTTTGCCAGAAATTCCTTTTCTGGTTATTTTCTTTGTGGCGATTGAGATACCAGCCAGTTCTGTTTGAACCACGCTGGTATTTTTTCTCCTTTCCCACTTAATCCCTAGGTTTAGTGATCTGGAGTACACTTCACATCCTGAGCCTTCTTCTGTGTATATGCGTATTGCATTTGTAACATCTGACTCTGTGTTCTGTTTAATTTGTATTTTGTAGGGTTTATCAAACACAAACCCGGGTTCAATTGCATCACTGGTTGCCTGCAGCAGAGGTTGCGCAGTAAGCGCTTCTCGCCACAGGCTCAGCCTCAATTGACCCATTACTACTTCCAGGTTTACACCAGCTGTGCCCAATCGTAACATAGCCGTTAATGCAACCTCCTTAACGTATAGGTCCAGAGGGGTCAGACCAGTAATTAATTCCATTGCCGCGGTTGGTGTTGTTCTCATGGCTCATGTATTTGAGCATATGCAGGCTGATTTGGATGAAATGAGTTGTGAACTAGTACTCCATCTCTTATGTACCGCTCACATAGCCTCTCCATAGTTTTTAAAAAGAACGATGTGAGACTAATTGGTCGGAATGCTTTTGGTAAGGTGTATAGTCCATACTACCTGGTTTGGGTTCAAATACTACTCGTACTTCTCCCCACTTACTGGGAATATACCTCAGAGCTAGAGAGGCTTCGAATATTTCAACCAAGTGCGACATAAGAATATCCAATCCCCATTGAAGTAGGGCTGGTCTTATGCCGTCAGGTCCTAGTGACTTGAAGGGGGAAAAGCCCGATATGGCCCATCTTATCTTGTCCTCATCAATTACTGCACTAGGAGATTGCCAGTCGTATTGTGAGGGTGTTGTTGGTACTTCCGTCCAGTTCGTCCTTCCAGGAAAGACGGAACCTGAGAAGTGAGTTTCCATAAGAATATCAGCACTCTCTTGGAGGTTGGCGGCTTTGTTGCCATTCTCCCTCGTCAGGATGCCGATACTCTTATGGTGGTCATTTGAGAGTGCCTTCTGTAGCCTAGAAGCTAGTGAGCGTCACAGTAGGCTCTCCAGGCTTCTCTTTGTTTTTGTCTGCAGACTTTTTGGAACTGTCTGAGGTTGGCTTAATATATTCCCCAGTCCTCTTAGAGTCTTGTACGTTTTGCCTTGTTAAAGGTTGTTCTCGCTGTCTTCCTGAGGTGTTCCAGTTCAGAGCATCACCATGTATTGGTTGTGCCATCTCTTTGAACCATCCTCATCGGACGGTTGATTTATTGTTTTGAAAATGACAAAAGTAGTGTTAATCTCAACACAATAACTCACAAACTGATTGACAAGTTACGAATTATAATTTTTTCTAGTCTACGATTCATATACCAATAACTCCGCAACCAGTTATTCAAATTCAAAATAGTGCAGGTCTTTGTACAGAGAATTATAATACCTTTCGAGGGAAGGGTCTCAAGGCCCCCTCTCTTACGAAACAGTTGATAGTGGCGAGTGATGTCACGCCATATTTTTCTATCAAAAAGTGATTCCTTTTCATACAAATTTTTGATCTACTTCGACACCAGTGATACTAAAGTATAACTAGGGGAGATATCCCTGAGATGGCATACTGGCTGAGACGGCATAACACGTATTTTATCTACATCTATTAAAAATTTGGCGCTTTTCTGACCGAAAACAATCATCAATGCTCGAACATTGAGCAATAGTGTGCAAAAGCCATGCTACAGATTCGTTTTGGCGGCAGTAGGCTAGACCAGTGGTCGCCAACCTGTCAATCGCGAGCTACCAGTAGCTCGCGGAGGCAATTCTGGTAGCTCTCACAACGATTTAAATTTAAAGAATACAAACTGCAAAAATCAGAGAAGATTCCGAAAATTCCACAAAAAAATCTAATTGTCATAATATTA